AAGACACGTTGCTGACGGACACACAGAAGACAACGCTGATGTACAAGCAGAATTAGTAATAGTAAAGTACTATCTGCTATCCTGTTCTGCCTTCTCTTCCTAAAACGTTACTGGGGGACATAACCGGTTTTGACACAGGAACGCACAAGGTTAGAACACTTCTAGTTTATGCATAACAGGACAAAGAACCCGTGGATTAAAGGGTGCAACGGTGTTCCTCTTATGAATCAACGGATATTCTTTAGAACATTAGCGCAGGGCAAAGTAGAGGCACCTTGACAAGACAAGGTGTATGGGCTCGTCTCAAGCACATAATTTCAAATATGTAGGCGAGTTAGAAAAGAGGAGGAGGAAATGCAGAAAACTCCGTGAATGAAAAGGAACCAGGACAGGGCTTACCTCGTTGACTGACTGCTGAGAGAGCCGATCAACCAGTTCAAGCGTGCACCTGATCAGCAAAAGCGTAGTGTCCACGAGAGAGGAAATGAGGTTCCGCTTGAGAGGTGCAAAACCAACCGAAAACCCACCACACAGTGTAGGATCCGGCCGTGTCAGGCAATCCACAAATGCACTTTAGGGACGCAATAGTAACATTGGACAAAAATTGAGAATCACGTAGGTTTTGTTATGCACACAAAAATCGCCTCATTTTCAAACAAGGCAAACAGGAAATTGTTTTTGGGAAACGAACGTCTGTTACACGGACAATTTCATCTGGAATGCCGATTGCCGACTAGCATCTAAAGTGAGCTCATTAGTAAAATATCTTTGACTAGAGCAGCCGACAAAAGTCCTTAAAGCCTAATGACTAGGCCTTGATATGTCATACTTTTGCAAATGAAGCAAAATGAGGAAAACTTACGACATGATCAAAGGCACCTGGCGCAGCCATTTATCTCGAATTGGAGGAGCTTCAAATTGCTCAGAAGAGAACAGATCCCTGAGGACTGCAGCAACTTTGCACGCATCCTCGAGGATTTTGTTGTCGGATAGTCCAGTAACGAGGCTGGTGAAGGCTGTGAATAGCTCAAAAATCAGTCTAATTTGCTGGAAGCTATGCCAGACAGGGACGGACGTGGCGCATGCAATGAGGTTCTGCTCTACGACGCACTGTAGAAGCGCTGACCGGAAGGGTGAAC